GGGGGGGGGAAGAAAATATGGGAGTTTTGTTAACAGCCTCCTGCTGGGAGCGGGGCAGGAGCCTTCCTTTGCACGTCTGGGCCGTGGATGAGGTTGCGGCTGCACCAGGTCCAGCGCGCAGACCTACGATGGGTGTGATTCGGACAGGAGGGACGGGGAAGCGGGTCAGGCAAACCTCCCCCGGGAGGGACGTCGGTGGTGACTCGGCTCTGAGGGAGGACCATGAGGTGGGCTGAGGTCCCTCAGCAGAGCAACAGGTCCGGCGGGTGAAATACGGGAAGCCCTTTGAGGTCGGGCTGCAGCCCCGGTGGCATGCCGAAGGGTGGAGGACATGGAGCTGCGTGCGGGAGCGCAGGGAAGCGGGAGACGCAGCATCTCCGGCACGAGGAATGATGTGGGAGGTCGGAGGAGCCCGAGGATGAGCAGCAGGAGCACGAATCTGGTTTTTACGGGCAAGACGACCGGCCCCGACCTGACCGTCAGGAGGATGCTCTGAAGGTGTAACACCGAGTGTCCTGATGGGAAAGACCGACTCACGCCCTGCCTCAGTTTACCTCTGACCATGGGAAGATGGTGTCAAGAAACCAAAACACCGAGCCTTTCCAAACTTACTCCAGCAGCTCATTCCCGACCTATTTCAACGCTTCTCTGCCTTGCTCTAACCCCAGGCTGTGGCCTCTTTGGGACCCCGCTGACAAACGGGAGCACAACCTGGTGGGTTCCCACACAACCCCGTTCCTACAGCCGCTCTCCCGAGCAGAGCCCCGCGGCAGGGCTGACCCCCTTCCCGTGACACCCGTCTGACAAAACCTAAACCCGGAGCCAGGCCCTCGGCTCCTCCTGAGAAACCACGTGGCTATGACCGCGCACTGACCGGCCCCGTCGTGGGGCTGGCACAGAGCGTTCGCGAACCGTTAGGCAGCGGCTCTTAACCTCGCCGGGCGGCTATAAATACCCTCACGCTCCGCGGGTGGTGCCGGGAGGCGTCGAAAGGGAAAAGCGCAAACCCCCCTCCCCCCCCTGCAAAATCTGAGCGGAACAAACCAAAAACTGACTCGGCGTCTGCAAATCCCCGCGGTGTTTGAAAGTGCGGGGCGGAGGGAGGAGCAGAAATCCCGACACCTGGAGCGAAGGACTTGCGAAGAGCAACCCGTCGTGTGCGGGATTTAATATAGCGATGAGTCAATGCGTCCCGGGGTCAGCGGCCGGGGGCAGAGGAATGCCCCCAGCTAATCCTCCCGCCCCGCAGCCGTCTATTTAGGGAAGCGATGGCCGCGCGGAGCCGAAGGAGGCCCTGCGCTCAGCGTCCTGGCATTCCTCCACGTCCCAGCTGGCTGCTTTCCCGGCCCTGCACCCACTCCTCCCCGGCCGCTCCGGGGCAGCCATCGGCAAACCCACCCCCCCCCCACGGATCGCGGCGGA